TCGAGAATCTCTGCCGCTCGCGAGCTCTCGAGGCCTTCCGTCTCGATACCGCGGCGTGGGGTGTCAATGTTCAGCCATACTCTGGATCTCCGGCGAATTTCGCCGCTTACACCGCCTTGCTTCAGCCGCACGATCGTATCATGGGGCTTGATCTGCCTTCAGGTGGTCATTTGACGCACGGATACTATACCTCCGGTGGGAAGAAGATCTCTGCTACTTCGATCTACTTTGAGAGCCTTCCGTATAAGGTGAACTTCACCACCGGTTACATTGATTACGATAAGCTCGAGGAGAAGGCGATGGATTTCAGGCCTAAGTTACTCATCTGTGGTGGTAGTGCGTACCCTAGGGATTGGGATTACGCTAGATTGAGAGCTGTTGCTGATAAGGTTGGAGCTCTTTTGCTCTGTGACATGGCTCACATTAGTGGACTCGTCGCTGCTCAGGTATATTGCCTACTATCATGTGTATTGATCTTGTTCTTCATGTATCTCCTTCATTTTGCTGGATCTGGTTTTGTTTTAGCATTTTGAATGGTCAACAGCGAAGATCTGGATTTATGAATTACTTACACTGACTCAGTTACACATTTCTTATCTCTGTCTCACTGGCTGCATTCATCATCATTGTGACTACGATTTTCGTTAGTATTGACCCTGTTTTATTGCTTATCTGTGCATTCATGTCTCAAATCTAGTGTTTCCATGGTGTATTATGGAATGAGGCTTGTTCATAGGAACGAATCATCACATTGTTAACTTTTTTTTAATCAGACCAATCTTTAAGCCTGATGAAGTGGTGTTACTAATGTTAGTTGCCAAGATTGAGCTTTTTTGCATTTAATCACAAAGCTGATTGAGTTTTTATTCATGTTTACAGGAAGCTGCAAACCCGTTTGAGTACTGTGACGTTGTGACAACCACAACCCACAAGAGTTTGAGAGGTCCAAGGGCTGGTATGATCTTCTACAGGAAGGGCCCGAAACCACCAAAGAAGGGGCAACCAGAGGGTGCAGTCTATGACTTTGAGGACAAAATCAACTTTGCTGTATTCCCTGCGCTTCAAGGTGGTCCTCACAACCACCAGATCGGTGCTCTAGCTGTTGCGTTGAAGCAGGCTAACACACCTGGTTTCAAGGTCTATGCGAAACAGGTGAAAGCCAATGCTGTTGCCCTTGCAAACTACTTAATGGGCAAGGGATACAGTATTGTAACCGGTGGAACCGAGAACCACCTTGTCCTTTGGGATCTTCGTCCTCTTGGATTAACCGGTAAGTGAATTATATCCTCTGGGAAAAAAAAACCTTTGAGATTGAGACCTATGTTATACGAAACTAGTCCTGATGTTACATATGCTTCTTCTTCTGCCAGGTAACAAGGTTGAGAAGCTTTGCGATCTTTGCAACATTACTTTGAACAAGAATGCTGTATTTGGAGACAGCAGTGCTCTTGCTCCTGGAGGTGTAAGAATCGGTAAGAAAGTGGAACTGAATGAATTGTTCTTGACAATGGTCATTGAAGCTCATTCTCGGGTCTTGATGTTTACGTTTTTGTTTTGTAGGTACACCTGCGATGACATCGAGAGGATTGGTGGAGAAGGACTTTGAGAAGATAGGAGAGTTCTTGAGCCGATCTGTGACACTGACATTGAACATCCAGAAGGAGCATGGTAAGCTTTTGAAGGACTTTAACAAGGGTTTGGTGAACAACAAGGAGCTCGAGGAGCTCAAGGCTGATGTCGAGAAGTTCTCAGCCTCGTATGAGATGCCTGGATTCCTCATGACTGAGATGAAGTACAAGGATTAGAGGATCTTTGTCTCTCTCTCTCTATCTAAAGAGTTAATCTTCTATCATCTTCTATATATAATATGCTTTTGTAGGGTCGCCAAATTGGAATTTACAAGGCGAAGAGATGAAGAAACAAAACAGTAAAAAAGAAAAGGTTTTCTTGAGTTATATTTCTTCTTGAATGTTTTTCTCTCTCATTGAAATTGTTGTATTTTGTTGGCTTTTTTTTTCTAATAATATCAGCGAGTTTTTCTTTCCTCTTGTTTAATTTAGTGTTTGTAGTTTGTAGGGTTAAGTTATAAACTAAACTAAATTTTTAAGTTAACCGGAGAAAATGAGACCCGGCGAGCAATCTGATTCTCATATATTTTCATCATTTTACCTTTCTTTAAGTATGTAAAGCTCTAAAGAATTTCGTGAAATCCTGATTTTTAAGGGTTTAGGTCCTGTTCGTTTTTTTATCTAGATGTTGCATCTAGATTTTGCATTTAGATCAACATCTAGATACAATATCTAGATATTGTTTGTTTTTGAAACTAAGTTTTGCATCAAGATGCTACGTCTAGATACTAAATTGTTCGTTTGTGAATTTAGAAAAATAGTTGGATGCAAAATATATAAAATGACTAAAAAAAATTATTATTTTTTAATAAATAATATTTTTACCAACTTAAGTTTTAAAAATACATGAATTTTTTTTTTTTTTGCATTTTTTTGAGAAAACATGATTTTTTATACTTACTAGAATTTTGAGTTTTTGACGGAAAATAAAGATATTGTGTTTTTGGCAGAAAATCGAGATTTTATGTTTTCGGCGAGAAACCAAGAGTTTTCGTTTTTAATGGAAAATCGAGATTTTACGTTTTTGGCGAGAAATCAAGATTTTGCGTTTTTGGCAAGAAATCGAGATTTTGCGTTTTCGACAGAAAAGCGAGAGTTTTTTGTTTTTGGCGAAAATCAAGATTTTGCGTTTTTGGTGAGAAACCGAGAGATTTTGTTTTTGGCGGAAAATCGAGATTTTGTATTTTTGACGAGAAATCTAGATTTTTCATTTTTGATGGGAAATCGAGATTTTGTGTTTTTGGCGGGAAATCAAGATTTGCGTTTTCGCGGGAAAGCGAGAGTTTTTTCGTTTTGGCGGAAAATCGAGATTTTTCGTATTTGACGAGAAATCGAGATTTTGCGTTTTTGACGAGAAACCGAGATTTTGCGTTTTTGGCGAGAAACCGAAAGTTTTCGCTTTTGGCGAGAAACCGAGAGTTTTTGCTTTTAGCGGAAAATCGAGATTTTGTTTATTGGCGAAAAACCTAGTTTTTTGGTGAAAAACGTCGATTTTTCGTTTTTGGCGGAAAATCGAAATTTTGCTCTTTTGGCGAAAAATCGAGATTTTTGCGTTTTTCGTCGAGAAACTGAGATTTTTCTTTTTTTTGCGAGAAATCGAGATTTTGCGTTTTTGGCGAGAAACAGACATTTTTTTTGTTTTTGGCGGAAAATCGAGATTTTTTGTTTTTGGCGAAAAATCGAGATTTTGCGTTTTTGGCAAGAAACCGAGAGTTTTCGTTTTTGGCAAGAAATCGAGATTTTGCGTTTTTGACAAGAAATCGAGATTTTGCGTTTTTGACGAGAAACCGAGATTTTTCGTCTTTGGCGGGAAACGGAGAGTTTTTGTTTTTGGCGAAAAACCAAAAATTAACATTTTGGTGAAAAATCAAGATTTTTCTTTTTTTACATGAATCAGATGCAAACGCTGCATCGGAACTCTCTATTTCTCAGCATCTATAATATCCTGATTTTTGAGATGCTAATCAATTTGTATCCAGATGTTGCATCTGGACACAAATTTTTTTTTGAATAAACGAACAACATTTGGACATTTGCAACTAGATGCAGCATCCAGATACAGAAACGAACAAGGTCTTATTAGTTGGGTTTGCATGCTCATCACTTTCGTTAATCAAACCATTAGGAGGAACGAACAATGATTAGTCGGCCTCGCTGTATCCGATTTTGTCGGCGGGGCATTCTTATGTCTTTTCTTGGCAGCCAAAAAATTCACTCTTAACAGAAAAGTTATTTTAATCGTTTTCATTATTAATGACTAATTTTGTTATATAGATTTATACCCTAAAAAATGAAACATAAACCATAGTCCCAAAACTATAACTTCATCAAAAGCTAATTCCATGACGAGTTCCACGATCGACCAAAAGGTCATCTTTTGTTATGTCATTAAAAAGTGTAAGAAAGGTGAGAAATTCGTTTAGTTTCTTAATTTATCTGTAAGAAAATGTTCTGTTCGGCGTCTACATTTCTTTGGGTTAGTCGTGGAGGTGTTTTGCTTTAGTGGTTTAGCTTTAGTGTTCATTGTTCATTTGCTTCTTTTTTTCCCATTGATTCTCAGTTTTTTTTTGTTTTTTGTTTTTGTTTTTAATAATGTTGGATCTAAATTTTTATATAATCTTCTATTCATAAAGCTTTGTCTCCGAAAAAATCTAGTTTTCTGCCGGCTTTGTTTCTGGTTCCTACTGAATTATCAATTCTTACCGGTTGTTGGTTCTAATCTCAATAATTCAAATACATTTAGAGAAAAAATATTTCTAAGTATTTTCTAAAATGAGACTATTTACTAGTATATTTACTTGGTTATCCCATTATTTAAATAATGTTCTTACTTCCCCTTCAATGTAAGTGTGGAAAACTCATACAACCAAAAAGTTAAAACATTTTATGTGGCAAACATTATTAGGATATCTTATCACATGCCAAAACTCACCTATAGACACTTATGGTCCACTATGCGATGTCCTAGATGTGAAGCACCAAAAAAATCCATAAACCACAATTTGTTTCTATATTCACAGGTTTTACAAGTCTGGCGTTATCAAACTTTGTCTCTTCCGGACTACTTTTCAAGTATCTTTATTTTTTCAAAATATGAGTGTTCTTTTGTTGAAAACAAAAAAAAAACTAGGTTTAACAAAACCACAAAAAAATATATCTTTGAATACTATGGTATATATAGAATAGCAAAGAATGACTAAATTTTTAATAGAAAAGAAATTTCTCTGCAAAACACTCTTCAGCATGCAGCCCTAGAAGTTGAGAGGTAGAGAACAACAAACCAACCAGAAGAAGAGGAAGATGCGATGGTACCAAATTCCTATCTTCCTAGAAGCCCCATTCCTGCGGATCCACGAATCCCAACATGTCAAATTGACGCCTCTTGGGTCACCCATAGACCGCTTAGTGGATTATGGTTGATTCTACGGGATGATAGGGGATATGAAGTTGTTGGACAACAAGATTGTCTTAGAAGTCTGTCCGTTTTACATGCTGAGATGGATGACCTCCTTTGAGTGATGTTTTGCCTAAGAGAAATACGAATATATGTGACACATTTTCAGATAGATTATTCGGATTCGGTGAGCATAATCGAGTCCCCAGTGGACTGGCCTTCTTTTATGTAAGAATTTCATCACTTCCACTTTTTATATGGAACTTTTGATGTGTGTATACTATCCCATATCCCTAGGACACAAAATGTTTGTGCTGATACTCTTGCAAAAAAGGCTTGAGCACAAGGTATTGCATTTTTCTACGTCAATCATACTGACTTGTCGAAGATGCTCCATTGACCAACCTGCCGATTAGCCACATGTAATGGGTAGCAGGAAAAAAATAAATAATGTTCTTACTTGCAAACTGCCAATTCCTTGTTCAGGTAAATAAATAAAAACAAAATTGGAAAAATTTCTAAGAGGCCCTGATTCGATTCGTATCCCTCCCTCCAAAGCATTCATTTTTTTTTTTCGGCTCCTTTCGTTCTCCCTCAAAAACAAATGTCGTCAAGTTGGGACGGCGACGAGGATTTTACAGAGGAGCAGCTTCTCGCTATCGACGCCATTGAAGCTTCCTATAACTCACATTCTTCTTCTTCTTCTTCCTCCGCTACTCCGACCGTACGGCCTGATACCTCCGGTCATCGACACGAGGCTCCATCATCTCAAGCCCCTAAGATCCGTCGCCAGTTGCCTCGCTCCATCACTTCTCCTACAGCTTACAAGCGATTTCCACTCTCTCGCTGCAGAGGTAATTAAATAGTTTAGAGAACCCACATCAATGGCTCTCTCCATTTAATTTCGAATTTCCCTGTCTTGTTGCTTAGAAATTTCTCTGATCTTTTATCAGTCTGTTCCTGGTGATCTCAATTTTCTGATTCAATTTTTAGGTTCTTTGTTTTCTCAATTGTCACCGTCCCAATTTAAAAATCAATGGTTTTTTTTTTTTTTTTTCCATTTGTTGGCAACATGATTCTGTAGGAAAAAGCAAATTATTCCTTTTGATTATTGACGTTTTTTTTAATACCTTATTGCAGCTAAGAATTTTCCGGCCATGAGGTTTGGTGGTAGAATTTTGTATAGTAAGACTGCTAGTGAGGTTGATAAGAGAGCAATGCAGCTTTTAAAGGTTCTTGAAACCAAGAGAGATGATTCTGGAACAGCTATTGTTGGGTTTGATATTGAGTGGAGACCAAGTTTTAGAAAAGGTATCTCATATTCTTTTCGACATTGATGTCTGTTTTTTTTGTGTTTGATTCATACGGTTAGTGTCTTATCTCAGTCTACTCTTTGGTTTGTCTGTTTGTAAGTTGTTCTATCAAATGTTTTGATGGTGCATTTGATCTCTATTGATGCATATGTTTTCTTGTCTGTTTACTCTTTTGAAATCTAGATGAGATAATGAATACCATACAGTCTCGTCTTTAGATCAGAAAGACCTTATGATTGTTGTCTCTTTCTAAATGGTCGGAAGAAAGTGTAGATGGCTCACTTGTGCTCTACTAATATCTATTATACTTGTATATGTTGTATTGATAGTTGCTTGAGTCATGTCTTGTGACATTGTTAACTTCTTTAGCAGTGGTTCTGTTCACTTCGGATTCATAAAGAAAGATAAAAGTTATATTTTGTAGGTCTGGACATTTTAAGCCAACTCAAAAGCCACACATGATCGTTTTGTTTGACAATAAAATAGATTACTTACTCTGACAGCTCACGTCAATTCCTTGAAAGTCTTATCTGATTCATTATAATTAAAACAATGGGAAATATTCATGAACTCTTTGATGCTCGCTAATGTATGCATTATCTTGAGAGAAGTTCTGGTGATCTAACTATAGCTGTTTCTTTAAACTACGAGTTTGTTCAGGTGTTCTCCCGGGGAAGGTTGCAGTTGTGCAGATATGTGTAGAGAATAATTATTGTGATGTGATTCACATTATCCATTCTGGTATCCCACAGAGTCTTCAACAGCTTATTGAGGATTCAACACTCGTAAAGGTTTGTTAAATTTTTTGAACTAATTAAAGTTCTTATGTAGCGCCATGAATGCGCCAACCTTTACAGTGTCTGATATGTATATAGGTAGGTATTGGAATTGACGGTGACTCTGTGAAGCTTTTCCATGACCATGGAGTATCCATCAAAGATGTCGAGGATCTTTCAGATTTAGCCAACAAAAAAATTGGCGGAGATTCGAAAAAATGGGGTCTTGCCTCTCTAACTGAGACACTTGTTTGCAAAGAGGTATCCGTTATCGTTTTTCGCTCTCATTATAACAGTGGAACATCAGTCATCTGTTTTGTTGTCCATGAGTCTTGGTTCTATTTCGCTTTTAAAAGCTTTAATGTTACTTTGCAGCTCCTGAAGCCAAACAGAATTAGGCTCGGGAACTGGGAGGTCCAGCCTCTGTCAAAGGAGCAGTTACAATACGCAGCAACCGATGCTTATGCTTCATGGCATCTTTACCAGGTAAGAACAAAGAAAAACCATCTTCTCATACTCAAACAACCTTGAAGCAAAAGTCTCACATCGTTCTACATACTTGTTGAAACCCCGGAGCTTATCTTTGGTACGTAAGAAGCTAATGGAGAGCATTGTTACATCTGCTTAGGTTCTAAAGGAGCTTCCTGATGCAGTCGATTGCTCATAACGTGAAGGATGAAGCTTTAGAGGTTAGCTTATGATTACCACAAGAGGGAGCCTCTGTAATGGTATTAAATGATATGATAGTCTACTAGAAGCAATTCTTATGGGATATGCAAACGAGATTTGATTATTTGAACATTGTAATCTAGTTGCAGTTCTTTAATCGCCTCTTATGGTCGGCTTTTAACATCCCACTGTTATTTGGTTGAGCTTTAAAGAAACGTCCCACTGATATAACTATATGGTAATTAGTATAAGGTCTTCATAGGCTGAAACTTTCCTCAGACTCTAAACATCTCAGGAACACAAAGCACAAGACCTTATTACGGTGTTGAGATTAAAGTGTTCTATTGAACCGTTGCAAAAGTTGTATTGTTTTATGATTACAAGGAGATACCATCTTCCTAAGAATGGATGCTTCGATTAAGTAAAAAAGTGTAAGATCATCATGAATTAGTCATGTTTATATGAAGTGAGAATGTAGCCGATGGTGAGTCCACAGAACAGACCAGGTACATAGCCTAACGCAGCTGCGATCCAGCTCAGTGCTTGATCTTCTTCTTCTTCCTTTTCTTCATCTTCCTCTTGCTTTGTTGCTTCTTCCTCTCCGCCACATGTTTCTTGAAGAGGAACACCGCAGAGCCCATGATTCTCTGCAAAAGATGAACTATTCTGACTTTGAATCTGAGTCCCTTGTGGTATTGGACCTTCAAGCCTGTTGTAAGAGAAGTTCATCCGTGCAAGAAACGTGAGTTTCCCAAGCTCTGGTGGGATTTCGCCAGATAATCTGTTTTGAGATAGATCCAATGATTGGAGATTCGTCAAGTTCACCAGAGATGGTGGGATATGGCCTGTGAAGGCATTGTTTGACATGTTGAGCACAATTAGCTCCTCGAGTAAACCAATGGATTTGGGAATCTCTCCTTCGAATCTGTTTCCAGAGACATCAATAGTTTTGTACATTGTGAAACCACTGCCAACCAGCTCCATCTTCAAGCCTTTGTTCGTCAGAACCACTGATGCATGATAGTATTCTACGTGACGTCCAAATCTAATCAACGTACTACCTTCAGTGTTTACTACCGATGACATTGCAGCCCAACCAGCAAAGTAATCTGATGGCAAGACTCCACTGAAGAGATTATCTGAAATGTCAAAGATTCGCAGCTTGGAAAAACTCAAAGAATCTCCATGGGATGATATTGGCCCATGGAACTCGTTAGAACGAAGGACAAGAACTTGTAGATTGGGAAACAATCTCAACCAGAATGGAAAATTGCCATTGATTCTGTTGTTTTCAACGTTCAGAAACTCGAGTTCAGTGCAATTGATCAGAGACTTGGGAAGTTCTCCTGACAAATGATTGCGACCAATATCAAGTGATATCAAGTGATCATTTATAGATTCCTCTGGAAAAACACCAGTGAGGCTATTATTCTGAAGATGCAAGACTGACAAAGTAGTATTGAAATTCTGAAAACACTTGGGAATAGAACCACTAAAGTTGTTGTTGGATAAAACAAGTGTCTCAAGAGCAACCAATTCACATATTGTATGAGGAATTTTTCCCGAAAACCGATTATCAGAGCCTAAAAAGTGCACCAAAGACCTTGGTAACAAAGGAAAGGGATCATGGAATGTGTTTGAACTTATATCAAGCAATACCAACTCTGGGAATCTCCATAACCACTCTGGAACTTTGCCTTCAATTTGATTGGCAGACATGTCTAAATAAGACAGATTGGTTTTGGTTTGTAGAAACTTGGGAAACTCAACGATATTGCAAGATGATAACAATAATTGTTGTATAGGTGAGGAAAGATGGAGAGTTGGACTGATCTTCAAAGTATTCCCTGAGAGATCCAAGCTTCTAAGTGACATGAGATTTGAGAAAAGACTCAAGTCAACTATGCTTCTTGTATTCAGATTGGAGAGGTCAAGTATCTGAAGTGACTTGAGATGCATGAAGATGCTGAAATCAACTATGCGCTTCCCTGTGTTCCAGAAAGAGAGGTCAAGATACGAGAGCCTGGAAAGTTTCGATATAGATCCCGAGATTGGCCCATTAAAATTGTTCTCTCCAAGAGACAAAGTTTCAACTTTAGATGGTGAAGAGATATTCCTTATCTCAAGAGGACCACTAAAGTCGTTTCTTTGTAGAAGAAGGTAGGTCAATGAAGGGATCATGAAGAGAGATGATGGAATAGATCCGGAAAATGAATTTCCACTAACATCAAAGAACTCCAGTTTGCAGAGGCTACTCATGTTAGATGGTAGCATACCTTCGAACCGGTTAGAAAGAAGGTCAATCTCGATGAGCTCACTCATATTGAGTAGCACAAGAGGAAAGTTCCCATTGAGCTTGTTATGTCCAAGTATCAACCGTGTTAGTCGGTTTAGGTTACCCAACGAATCCGGTATTTCACCGGTGAAATCATTACCCATAAGATCAAGATCAGTGAGGTAAGAAAGATATCCGAGTGAAGAAGGAATCTTTCCAAAAAAATTGCAACCAAAAAGTGTCAAAGTCCTCAAATATTTGAGATTGCTGATGGAGTTTGGTAGAATACCTGAAAGATTATTTCTGCCAAGATTTAGTCTCTGAAGATGTTGTAGTCTAAACAGACTACTATTAGTCCTCAAAGGGCCATTGAGAAAACTGTCCTCAAGGTCTAACTCAACCACCACGCCCGACTTAGAATCACAAGAGATACCATCCCAAGAGCAGCAATCAGTGTTGTTCCTCCACTTAACTGTCTTAGAATCAGACTTGCTCCAATGAAAATCAGGCTTTTGGACATAGAACTCGCTTTTGAACTCCCAAAGAGCATCTCTCTGGTCTGGACGACACAAGTGCCTACCAGAAGAAGCAGAAATAAGTATTGAGTAATAAATGGAGAAGATTACACACAACCTCCATACTATCATCCTTTTCTGACTACAAGAATGCATCATATTTGTTTCTTTGATTTCTTTTGCTTCGAAACGAATTATGTCGGTGAATTCTAATCGTTGGATTGTCTACATATATTTGTGGAGGAAATTAAAGACCGAGTTAAAAAGTCTCATCTGAAGACTGATTGCTTCCACAAAGATTATTTAATTTCCCATATGAATGCTCCACAAAGTCAAGTCAAAGAAATTGAAAATTCTTACAGGTTATCCAAATGCGTTTTGCTTTCCAGCCACGTGTGCCAAATCGCTGAAAACCAGGAGTGTCTTTTGTCTTGGAGAAGAAAGGGTCACAAAGCAGCATAGCTCGGCCGCAATTTGCAATTCTGATCAATCCGATCACAAATGATCATAAACAAATGATGATGATGATGTCATTATAAATGGCAATCTTTGTAGTTTGTGATCACTTCTCAAAAGCAAGGATTATTTTATAAATTTCTCTTATCTCAAATATCTTATTATAGCCATATTCGTACACTCTTTGATGTTTGTTAGTATATACATTAAAAGGTTGATAAGCGAGTAACACAGCTTCCAAACTAAAGGTTCTTGAAATCAAGAGAGATGATTCTGGAAGAGCTATTGTTGGGTTTTATATTGAGTGGAGACCAAGTTTTAGAAAAGGAATTTTGAATTCATTTTGTCTCCATTGATATTTGTTTGTTTTGGTGTCTGATTCCGAGGATAACAACTCTTAATTCATGCTATTGATATCTTATCTCGGTCTATTCTTTAACTTATCTGTTTGCAAGTTTCCATTGCAGTTTCTAAGTAGGCAATGTGCAATCAGATGCACCTGTTTCTTTCTAAGGAAGCATATGTCTATTTCTTGTTTCAGAAGTTTTTCTATTTAGAACTTTGGAAATTTTGGTTCTATGTTGTTGCTTTAAAAGTTTGGCTGTTACTTTGCATCTCTTGAAGTCAAACAGAATCAAGACCCGGGAGCTGGGAGGTTCTCAGCTCTGTCAAAGGAACAGTTACAAACTGACAATAGGGAGCAACGGATGCTTATTCTTCGTGGCATTTTTACCCGGTAACAATAACACAAACAAAACCCACTTTTTACAACCAGAACATTAGGAATTTTGGTTCTCGTTAAAATTTTGGCTGTTACGTTTCAGCTCCTGAAGCAGAACAGCGACAGGCTAGGAAACTGGGAGGTCCGTTCATATGCAGTCAAAGGAACAGTTACGGTTCGCAACAACCGATGCTTGTGCACTTGTCGAAGATTAATTGTTTTTGGTTAGTAATAAGCTAATGGACAGCATTGTTATATCTGCTTAGGTTCTAAAGGACGTTCCCGATGTTGTCAATGGTTCATAACGTGAAGTATAGTAAGCATAAAGGTTATAAGTTATAACCCCAAGAGTAAGCATTAAGTGATATGATATATCTAGTCCACTAGGTGTTCTTATGGGATCTGCAAGGGATATTTGAATATTTTGACTAGTTGCAGTCCATTTACTCATGATCAGGATTAACTGTCTCTGTGGCATATGGTTAATATAAGATGTAGTCTTTTATGGTGAGTTATTTGATTTCAAACTTTGAATAGTGATGTAAAGATCTGAGAAAACTTTTCTCAGAGTCTTCTTTATTAATAAATCTCAGAAACACAAAGCACAAGACCTTGAAAAATTGAGGCATAAGCTAGGCAATAATTTTCTTGAATGGTGTGTGATCCAATGGCTTTACCATCTAGCTCCTGACCCTAGTCGGATTTTTTTTGCCTTTAGCTATCGTACGTAGTGTTCAATAAGAGATCTGATACAATCAAGATTCAGTGACAAAACGTTCCAATCGCAGTAAATGAATATTTCCGACTTAAAACTTGGTAGTCACATCTTGAACAGACTAATTTAGATTCAAAATCGAAACGCCAAAAAGCAAATAAGAAGAAATGAAGTAGTAATGTACCTCGTGAGTAGATGAACTGAGAGAAAAGTATAGTGGAACGATAAGAAAGGTACAAGAACATAACAAATAAAAAGAGGAAATTAACTCCAGCAAAACACAGATTCTCACGATATGATCATATAGAGAAGACAGTAATCGTTCCTCACTCACTTGACGTATATTGCACGTTAGGCGAAGAGCACACGCCTATGAGTTAGAGTGTGGCCGATGGTGAGTCCACACACAACACCAGGTATATAGCCAATAGCAGCTGCAATCCAGCTCAATACTTGATCTTTTTCTTCCTTTTCTTCAACTTACTCTTCCTTTGTTGCTTCTACTTCTTTTCCGCTGCAGGTTTCTTCCAGAGGAGCACCACATAGCCCGAGATTCTCTGCAAAAGAAGAACTATTCTGGCTTTGAATTTGAGTTCCTTGTGGGATTGGACCTTCAAGCCTGTTGTAAGAGAAGTTCATCCATGCAAGAAACGTGAGCTTCCCGAGCTCTGGTGGGATTTCACCGGATAATCTGTTTCGAGATAGATCCAGTGATTGGAGATTGGTCAAGTTCGCCAGAGATGATGGTATGTGGCCTGTGAAAGCATTGTTTGACATGTTGAGCACTATCAGTTCTTTGAGTAAACTGATGGATTCTGGAATATCTCCTTCAAGTCTGTTTTCGGAGACATCAATTGTTTTGTAGATTCTGAAACCACTCCCAACCAGCTCCATATTCAATCCTTTGTTTGTCAGAGCCACCGAATTGTGGTATTCTAAGTCTCTTCCTCCAAAATCTATCAAAACATGATAACCAATGTGTGTTTCATATGACATTGCACTCCAACCAGCAAAGTAATCTGATGGCAAAATTCCAGTGAAGCGATTTTTCGAAATGTCAAAGATTCGCAGCATGGGGAAACTCAAAGAAACTCCAGGAGCAGATATTGGCCCAAAGAACTCGTTGGAACGAAGGACAATAATCTGTAGATTAGGCAACAATCTCAACCAGAATGGAAATTTGTCATTGATTCTGTTGTTTTCCACGTTTAGAAACTCGAGATCAGTGCAGTTGATCAGAGATTTGGGAAGTTCTCCTGATAACTGGTTGTGACCAACATCAAGTGATCTCAAGCGATCACTAATAGTTTCCTTTGGAATAACACCAGAGAGGCTGTTATTCTGTAGATGCAAGATGGAAAGAGAAGTATTGAAATTATTGAAACAACGAGGAATAGACCCACTGAAGTTGTTGTTGGATAAAACAAGTGTATCAAGAGCAAGCATCTCACATATTGTTCTAGGAATCTCTCCTGAAAATAGATTATCAGAGCCAAAAAGGAACCTTGTAAAGTTTGGTAACAAAGGAAACGGATCCTGGAACGTGTAACTTATATCAAGCATATACAGGTATAATGCACTTCTTTGAATAACATCCGCTGATCCTTCAAAACCACTGAAGGAATTCTGAGAAATGTTTACAGACTGCAACCTTGGAAGTCTCCATAACCACTCCGGTACTTGGCCTTCAATTTGATTAGCAGAAATGTCTAAATTATTCAAATTGGTTTGGGTTTGTAGAAACTTGGGAAACTCAGAAATATTGCAGGATGATAAAGACACGCCGCTTAGGCTTGAAGGAAGATGGAGAGTTGAGCTAAATTTCAGATTATTCCCAGAGAGATCAAGTTCACGAAGTGACGTGAGATGTGAGAAATGACTCAAGTCAACAATGCTTCTTGTATTCAGGTAGGAGAGGTAAAGTGATGCGAGTGACTTGAAATGCAAGAAAATGCTGAAATCAACCATGCCCCTCCCTGTGTTCCAGAAAGAGAGGTCAAGAACCTCGAGCCTGACTAGATTCAATATAGATCTCGGGATTGGTCCACTAAAGTTATTTACTCCAAGGGATAAATAACTAAGTTTAGATGATGAGGAGATATTTTCAATCCCAAGAGGACCGCTAAAGCTGTTTCTTCTTAGGCTAAGCACAGTCAACGAAGGGATCATGAAGAGAGACAATGGAACAGATCCAGAAAATGAATTTTCACCAATTTCAAAAAAATTCATTCCAGAGAGGCCACTCATGTTGGATGGTAGCATACCTTGGAATTGGTTAGAAGCAAGGTTCACCTCAGTGAGCCCACTCAAATTGAGTAGCATAAGAGGAAAGTTTCCACTGAGCTTGTTATTGTGAAGTAACAAATCTCTTAGTTGGATTAGGCTGCCCATTGTATCTGGTAGTTCACCGGCGAAATTATTACCAGAAAGATCGAGGTAAGTGAGATAAGAAAGATTTCCGAGTGAAGAAGGAATCTTTCCAAAGAGGTTGCAACCAGAAAGACTCAAAGTGTCTAAATATTTGAGGTTGGTGATGGAATCTGGTAGAATACCTTGAAGGTTAGTGTCAAAGAGGTTTAACTGAACCACCTTACCTGTCGTAGGATCACAAGAGACACCATCCCAAGAACAGCAATCAGTGTTGTTACTCCACCACTTTGTCTTGTACTCATCGAAATAGAAATCGCTCTGGAACTCCCAAAGAGCATCCCTCTGGTCTGGACGACACAAGTGCTTAGCAGGAGAAGCAAAAACAAACATTACGTTAAAAAGGGAGAAGATCAAATACAAGATCCATTTTATCATCCTCCTCTCAGTACAAGAATGCATCATTTATTTTTTTCTCTTTCTTTGTTTTTTTTTTTTTTTTCTGAATGTGTTGATAACTGATGACTCTATACCATTGAATTGTCTTTTACATTTGCCGAGAAAAATCAAAGCTTGACTTAGCAAGTCTCCTCTGAAGAAATAATTGATGTATGGTCCACAAAGTGATTTGATCGTTCCACAAAGGAGACTTTCTCAACCACACGGTGTGGGTTAATCACTTAAACGCAGACGCAACTTCTCAGCCGTGCGGTGGGGGTTAATTGCCTAAGACGTTATTTATCCTGAAGATTCCTTTGTCTCTTCTCTGTTTCTTACTATTTAGACAGTGAAAGTGACAATGAACCCTCCATATGAAAACAAGTCTTTGCCTTAGAATTTGATTCGTATCCCTCCCTCCAAAATGTCGTCAAGTTGGGACGACGACGAGGATTTAACAGAGGAGCAGCTTCTCGCTATCAGCGCCATCAAAGCTTCCTATCTCTCCCATTCTTCTTCTTCTTCTTCCTCTTATGGTTAGAAACTTCACTGATCTGTTATCAGTCTGTTCCTGCTGATCTCAATTCTCTGATTAATTTCTATGTTCCTGTTTTCTCAGTTGTTCCTTTTGAATTTTCACTATTGACGTTTGTTTTTGACTTGCTTTTTGCAGCTAAGAATTTTTCCAGCGCTGAGGTTTGGTGGTTGAATTTTGTATAGTAAGACTTCTACTGAGGTTGATAAGCGAGCAATGCAGCTACTTAAGGTTCTTGAAACCAAGAGAGATGATTCTGGAAGAGCTATTGTGTAGGCTTTGATAGGAGACTGGAGACCAAGTTTTAGAAAAGCTATTTTCAAAATTTTCTTTTTGTCTCCATTGATATTTGTTTGTTTTGGTGTCTGATTCCGAGGATAACAACTTTTAATTCATTCTAGTAGTGTCTTATCTCGGCCTCTTTGATTTATCTGTTTGCAAGTTTCTTTCTATAGATGCATATGTCTCTTTCTTGTTTCAGAAGTTTTTCTATTTAGACCTTTGGGCATTTTGGTTTTATGTTGCTTTAAAAGTTCGGCTGTCACTACTTTTCAGCTCTTGAAGGCAAACAGAATCAGGCTCGGAAATTGGGAGGTCTAGCCTCTGTCAAAGGAACAGTTACAATACGCAGCAAACGATGCTTATACTTCATGGCATCTTTACCAGTAACAATAATACAAACAAAACCCACTTTCTTACCTGGAACTAGCTGCACTAAGCATGTCTTTGGTGAGTAAGAAGCTAATGGAGCCATTGTTATTACATTACATCTGCTTAGGTTCTAAAGGATTTCCCCGATGCCGTCAAGTAGCATTGTAAATTACTTTAATGATTTCATTTATGAAATCTACTAATTCCCAAGATGATCTAGATTTAGTTTAATCCAACCACAAACAATTTCTCAAGAAGAAGAAACACTAAACTTAATCCATGTTTATTGATCTGATGAAAATCTTCAACTTGATTTTCTCCTCCCTTTGATCTTCAAATCCTTATGATTCCTTTTGATGGATAAAGAAATCCAAAACCTTCTTCATCTTATGTTCTCTCACGACAAGATGGATTTTTTGGTGTGCTTTTATTATTCTGATAATTGTAATGTTTTTTCATCACTATAAATATATATACACACACAGACATAACCTTTATCAACCATCATGTACGATACTCATATACTTATGTCCTTTCACTAACTATATATATATACCCTTTCATATATATATACATTACAAAAAAAAGTGTGTTTTAATCACTTATTTTTTATATTTACATCAATTATAAATGATGTAAAAGAGTTTTGTATCACTTAAATAAGTGATTCTGAAAGTGGTGATGCAAATAGTTTGCATTAGTTATAGAAATTTTTACATCAAGTATGTATCAGTTTGAAAAAAAGTGATGGTAACATATACATTATTTAATATAATTGATGCTAATATTTATATAAGTTATTATAACTGATATTAAATGATATATCATTTGTTACTAAATGATGTTAACAATTGTATCATTTATAATAAATGATATTAATATTTATATCATTTGTATAATTGATGTTAATATTAATATCAGTTTTTAAAAATGATTGTAATATTTGTATCACATATAATAATCGACGCATAATTATATTTTGGTTTGCATAATTTTTTAAGGAAAATGACGTTATTCTGATTTAATCATAAACTTAATTTAGCATATTGAAAATAAATATAATTAATTTAACAAAATAATTAATTATCAATTAATTAAATAAAAAACAAAATATAAATTGCATATAAATGTATTAAAAACTAAATCACATACATTATTCACTGGTACGTAATGTAAGAAATGTATAAAACATATTTAAAATAATGAAAGCTGATAAAAATCTTTCTAACTAATGTCGAACATCCACCACATAATCTTTAATCACGATCGTCTAATTTCCATTCGTATCATCACCAATTTTCTGAAAAAAAAATAGATAATAAATTAGTATATCATTTGGAAATTAAAACATATAAAATTTATAAATAAAATGATATTCACCTCAAAGTTATTAGGATTTGCTTAATTCCTGAAAGCAGCCATAAAATTTACAATCGATGCACTTGCCTGAGTAAACATAATAAAATATCAGTTTTTATTTCATAGATTGTATGAAGAGAATATAACTTACAAATGATTGATAAACCTGTTTGCCAGATTATTAAGCACCAAGTATTTGTTCTGTTGGATGAACATAGTTATATAACTTTCGTTCATGTCAATGAGACAAACCCTCGAAAGTACATTGAAGTTAATACCGACAGAAACCAAAGCAAACTAGGAAACCATCAATAAGATACTAGAAGCACACTAAAAGAGTATGAAAGAAGACAACAATAGATAGCTAAAGCACCGACCTTTAGTAGAAGAATATTAAATATCACTTAAAGTATCGTTTGGAGTTAGCAGAGCCGTCTCGAACTCCTCCGCAGAAACCTCAGCATTGATTTTCAATAGCAGTCTAAAAACTTCTCCATCCAAAAAATGAGAACTTGGGAGTGAGTACGCTACTCATTGGCAAATAAGAACAAGGAAAACAAACAACAAAAACACACAGAGAATTAAAGAGAACAGAGAGCTCACATGCAAAAATTGAGTACCAAAGCAAGTTCCCACATGGAACAAAGATGCCATCACAACATCTGTGAAGGAGGGGACAAGAGAATTAACGATTTTGCCATAGCTTCCCCCAGCGCAGTGCTGCTGGTTCTGATCTCTGTCGTCCGCATCCTCTTGATCGTCCACATCCTTATCTTCCTCTTCTACCTCTTCCTCTCTCCGTCGATGCTTCCGTTTGTACTCCTTCTTGGGCGGCCTGAGCTTTCTCTCCGCCGCTTGCTGCTCTTGAAGCCGCTGTTGCGCCCAAACAGTGCAAGTGCGTGAAGGCCTCGTTCTCCTAAGCGCGGTAGTGTCCTCCGTGGGAATTTTCGCATCCATGACTGGAGAACCATCATCGGCGGGAGAGTGGTGGTTCCCGGAGACATCATGGTCAAGGGAATTGGTCAGGGGCTATATCGGAGGAGGAACTCATCGAGAGAACAGAGATTAAAGAGAAAGAGAGAGATTGAAATTAGGGGTTTTTTTTCTGGTTTCAAGCGGCCGCGGAGTTAGTTTGAGATTATTTAGGGAGAAAAATCAAAACCTTGGGGTGAAACCCAAATCGGTTAATCAAATATAATTAGGGTAAGCAGAAAGTACACCATGTGGGTAATCAAAAATAATTATTAATATCAAATGTTGTAATCGATGCAAATTTAAAATCAAACAACATCAGTTTTTCATAATCGAAACTAAATCACATGAATAACTTTAACTAATTAATAAATATATTATTAGCATCAATTTTAAGTGATGTAAAAAGTAAATTAATTTTTTAAGTAATGCCAGAAAAACTAAAATATATATCGATTATATTAAATAATGTGAATACATTTTTTTTATCACTTCTATAAGTGATTCAAAATGAGAGAGTTTTGTGTCAATTTTAATGATGTGATATTAAATTAAATCAAAAAATAACTGATGTATTTTTATATCATTTGCTGTAACTCAAAACAAAATCATTTAATTATGTGATACAAATTAAATGATGCTAAACATACTTTTTTGTAGTGACAAATTGAGCTTACACGAAACTCAAAACAGCTAAATACTCAAAGCTACATTAATTAAAAAACGAGAGAAGTGAGTAAATTGATAACTTCAATACCTGAGCTGCAATCACCAACCGTTGCCTATATCAAAAGAAGCTAGTTACAAATACAGACAAGAAAAAAGATTAAAAGGTACAACGGATTAGTTCAAACCTTCAAGTCTTTCAATTTTTGGTGTCTTTACACTCTGCTGAAGTCTCTCTCTTCTGGCTTTCATCAAGACAAAAGTCGTTAACAGTCTCTCGTAGCTTAAGCGCTCGCAATTTCTCTCGCCGAAGTTCTGCAAGTGACAGAGCTCCTTTTCAAGAATCTGTTCATTTGAGACACTCAAAATCGTTTGATTTGATTTTTCCTGACCTCCTATGTCCTGTTCTAGTTCAATTGATACCAGTACCAAAATAGCTATTTGAAATCAAAAATGAAGCATCGATACCTGTTCTTATACACCTGAAATCCCATCATGCAGCTAACGGAATCCACGGCTTCCTTCCATTTCATGAGCTTTTCAGGCTCACAATCCCGCATCGGACCGGAATCTCCTCCAACCCTAAACCTTAAAAAACTTTATGTTCCATTGGAAGAAAAGAAAGAGAGAGAGATTAATTAGTGTCGAAGATACAAACTAAGATTAAATAACATCAGTTTTTATTAATTGAAGCTAAATCACATAAATAATTTAATAAAATAATAAATACATTATCAGCATCAATTTTTTGTGACATAAAATTTGAATCATTTTTGTAAGTGATGTCAACAAAAATAATAAGTACATCGATTATTTTAATTGATGTAAATGCATATTTTGTATCATTTTTATTAAAATGATGCAAATTATTAGA